CTAGTATTCAACTGTCAAACTGGGGCAATTCTCTCCTCCAAAACTGATCAGATAAGAAACATTCCCACTCAATTGCCAAGTGATTTAAAGGTCATTTGCTAACTTCCCTTACACTGCAGTCAAAACAGATTCTACTTACAGTCAGGTTTGCTGTGGTAACTAATGCAAAAACCATGGACAAACAGAGGATTCAGAAATGGAAGGGATGTTTTTACAGTTAAGATCCCTGGGCAGTTCATTCATGAAGGAACATACTCTCTTCAAAGAATGACAGCAGGACCTCTAGCGAAGTGTTAAACACAAATTTCTACAAGGTCTAACGATGGATTCACAGACAGAATGTAATAAAAATCACAGACCAGATCTCTACATGTAACCAGATCTGTGTTTTTTTCTATATAGTCTTCTACCCAACATTTCCTTGTGCACCCCCCCACGCCTTTCTATTCTGGCTTAAATTTAAAAAAAAAAAAAAACCTTTTTAGATAAACAGGTTTCAGAGTAGCAGCCGTGTTAGTCTGTATTCGTAAAAAGAAAAGGAGTACTTGTGGCACCTTAGAGGCTAACCAATTTGTTTGAGCATAAGCTTTCGTGAGCTACAGCTCACTTCATCGGCTGCATGTAGCTATAGCTACATCGGCTGCATGGAGCTGTAGCTCAGGAAAGCTTATGCTCAAATAAATTGGTTAGCCTCTAAGGTGCCACAAGTACTCCTTTTCTTTTTAGATAAACAATTAGTTTAACATATTATATAACATATTAACATGGATTATTAAGTCAGTCTTAAAGCAGAATGGGGGCTACCTTAAAGACAGAGTGAGCTTTCCTATTACCTCTTACATTTCTTCAATTAGTATCATACTTAACTAAGACTGTATTGAATTTCAAATACATTTTAGAGTTATTTCACCATGTGAGCTTTCAGTAAGCTATCCTGACTGAATCTGAGACAAAAAACTCAGGCTCATGAAGACCTACCAACATTATGATGTCTTCAGAAAAAAATCTAAAGCGTTCTTCTGGTTTGTAGAAGAAAACAGCTTAAGTTTCATGTACTAATGTAGTACAATACTTGGATTTTTGCTTTATCTTTAAAAGTTGGGTCAAGGACTCCCAAATACCTGTCATAAAAAAAAGGCTCAGAAGAGAGTGTTCTGTTTTCATAAACAAATTGTTGGCTTCATTCAATCTTACAGTTGGTATTTCTGGGGGTCACAATCTTTTTGGCTGATATATATTACTGTGGATCAACACAACTGGATCCACAGAGAGGGAATTCAGTTAATGCCTTGCATTAATTTTTAGAATTTAGCAGCTTGGGAGTGCTGGACAGAAACTGAAGGTTATGCTTTCTGTAACAGGATTAATTTTTTCTGCTCCATCTTTTCTGGAAGCAGGGGAAAAAAAAAGCTAGTGATTGGTTGACTTAACAGTGCCTAAGTATGGTTAGTTCTCCAGACAACCTAATAAATTATTTAAGAGCCTGAGAGCCCCACATACTGTTCAAAAATCTCAGTCTGTTGAAGAGTTTTATTAGAAAAACTTGAGTTTGTACACTGGGTCTCTTTGCGGATGATTTGCGGATGATACTAAACTGGGAGGAGTGGTAGATACGCTGGAGGGCAGGGATAGGATACAGAGGGATCTAGACAAATTGGAGGATAGGGCCAAAAGAAATCTGATGAGGTTCAATAAGGATAAGTGCAGGGTCTTGCACTTAGGACAGGAGAACCCAATGCACAGCTACAGACTAGGGACCGAATGGCTAGGCAGCAGTTCTGCGGAAAAGGATCTAGGGGTGACAGTGGACGAGAAGCTGGATATGAGTCAGCAGTGTGCCCTTGTTGCCAAGAAGGTCAATGGCATTTTGGGATGTATAAGTAGGGGCATAGCGAGCAGATCGAGGGACGTGATCATTCCCCTCTATTCGACATTGGTGAGGCCTCATCTGGAGTACTGTGTCCAGTTTTGGGCCCCACACTACGAGAAGGATGTGGATAAATTGGAGAGAGTCCAGCAAAGGGCAACAAAAATGATTAGGGGTCTGGAACACATGACTTATGAGGAGAGGCTGAGGGAACTGGGATTGTTTAGTCTGCAGAAGAGAAGAATGAGGGGGGATTTCATAGCTGCTTTCAACTACCTGAGAGGTGGTTCCAGAGAGGATGGTTCTAGACTATTCTCAGTGGTAGAAGAGGACAGGACAAGCAGTAATGGTCTCAAGTTGCAGTGGGGGAGGTTTAGGTTGGATATTAGGAAAAACTTTTTCACTAGGAGGGTGGTGAAACACTGGAATGCGTTACCTAGGGAGGTGGTAGAATCTCCTTCCTTAGAAATTTTTAAGGTCAGGCTTGACAAAGCCCTGGCTGGGATGTTTTAATTGGGGATTGGTCCTGCTTTGAGCAGGGGGTTGGACTAGATGACCTCCTGAGGTCCCTTCCAACCCTGATATTCTATGATTCTTGCCTCTCTCGTCTAATTACAAAGAAAAGAGATCACTAAAACACATTAATTATGCTTTTTACTGTCTTTAAAATCAATCACTTAAAAACCTACCATAACAATTTATCATGCAAAGAAGGAATCAATCTACATTCCCACTAAAGACCAACTGGAAATCACAAAACATAGAACAAATACATACAGTTTTAACTTGAACTATTCTTAACTCAAAAATAGACAGTTTAAAATATAGTGCTTACTTTAAAAACAAGTTTTACACAGATATGCAGTGCTTTCTAATAGGAAAGCCAATATTTTCAGTCCAGCAGTGTGTAGGACTTATGTTCTCAGCTAGAAAATATCACTGAAACAGGAGCAACCACTAACTAAGGGTTTCAGAGTAGTAGCCGTGTTAGTCTATATTCGCAAAAAGAAAAGGAGTAATTGTGGCACCTTAGAGACTAACCAATTTATTTGAGCATGTAGCTCACAAAAGCTTATGCTCAAATAAATTGGTTAGTCTCTAAGGTGCCACAAGTACTCCTTTTCTTTTCACTAAGGGTTTGTTTACACACAAGAAGTTGCACAGCTTTAATTACATCAGTGTAATTTAAAGCAGTACAATCCCCTTAGCTTAGATGAAGTTATATTGCTACAGAGGTGTTTTATCAATGTAGTGATTCCTGTACAGGAAGGGGAAATAAGATAAATATCAGTGTCCAGGTGCCTTATACTTATAATGGTCCACACTAGGGCTGTGCTGGTTAACTATTTCTATTTAAAAAAAAAAAAAAATCACAACACTAACTGAACAGGTTTTGAACCAGTACAAGAACTGTTTGCAGATCAGTCTTGAGACAACAACCCCAGTGGATGGGTGATGTTGAAACACTGTTTTTAGTACTGAAACAAATATTGCTTTAAAAAAAATCAGAAAGGTGTTTTTAGAAAAATGCACACATACCCTTTTTATATCATATACACACTTAATATAGTAACTAAGCTACAGCATTCTGATTTAAAACTAGAGTCATTTTGACGGGAGGCTATTAGGTAAGGAAGTCTGATTTCATTAAAAACGAAAGTCTGATTTACTCTGCTATATTCATGTTGATGTTCCTCATTCAGACGGGACAACTAGCTGATTACACATAATTCTGTACTAAGCTGCAACTTTGGGTTACACATACTGCAGCAGAATAGGTCTTTAACAGTCTTATGTTTTAAAATAAAAACTACCTGCGGGGATTTTTTTAAAACAGACACGCACAAAGATTTTGGTCCCAATGACATCTGTATCCTTCTAAATAGGATATGACACCAGGGCATAAAGCCAGCAGTAGAGGCTGCAAATTGGATCAAAGGTGCCTAGCACGGATAGAGCTCTGAATAACTGGCATTAGCACCCAGATAAGCATATTTCCTAAGGACATTTCAATCTTTTGACATTTGACTTCAGAATTAGCTACCACTGAAGAAGACACATTCCATCTCTAGCATAATGACAGGTTTCAGAGGAACAGCCGTGTTAGTCTGTATTCGCAAAAAGAAAAGGAGTACTTGTGGCACCTTAGAGACTAACCAATTTATTTGAGCATGAGCTTCATCTGATGAAGTGAGCTGTAGCTCATGAAAGCTCATGCTCAAATAAATTGGTTAGTCTCTAAGGTGCCACAAGTACTCCTTTTCTATTCCATCTCTAGAGACTGTAAGGTATTCTGAAGAGACTGTGCAGAAAGTCAAACTTTGCTGTAGCATAGTACTGCACATATTGCACTTCTGCGATCTTTTTCCTAGCAAGCCCTAGTGTTTCCAGCACCACAGAGAGATACCCATGCTCCACATGCCACTCGCTCACTGTGTTGGAGGCAGACTGAAAAAGTTTATACTGCTTGGAGGAAATGAGTATGGAGAAATAAAGATTTGTTTTTTCCCCCCCCCCAGCCTGACCAATTGCCTTTCACTGACTACAAGCAGAATCACTCAGTATCTATTATTGGATCTGAGGAATACAATAATGCTAGTTTATGCAGTAGAGTTCATCTTTATTGACTGCAGAAAAAGAATCCAGATATGGTAGCGATCCCTAGTATCCTCTTTCTCCACCCAATTATACCCCTGAATCTCAACTTCTAACTTTTCATCCGCTCTTAAGTCAGCCAGAAGTAGTCATCAGACCTAAGCAAATCTCTCTTCCCAGAAGGCATAGAAAGCTGCTTTGACAGTGCTCCACAGAGTTACACAACCAGAGAATGTGAGGGTGTGTCAGAGTTCACTTCAGCTCTCCTGAAAGGCACCGCTACCATCATGTTACCAGGCCAGCCAGTAACTTTCCAATAGTGAATGTGCACTGGGCTAAGAAATCAATCTCAAGACTCCAACAGACTACCTGGTAACTTGCCTATCTTCTAGTTTTCACACCAGCCACAGCAAACAAACTTCTGGAAGGTGGAGAAGACATAACAGATATGTTATGCGGGTGAAGTGTATATTTTGTTCCATGGTTAGGTTTTCCTCAAAATTTCCCAGAGTGCCCTGTAATAAAGAATGTCCTGTACCTTCCATCTTCCAGTTGGAGAGCTCTCAGTCCTGCCAAGCAGGCATCTTTATTTACTCGACTCAAGTCATCTCCAAGAATAACCAAGCATGATAGGCCAGTGTATGTCATTGCTATGTGACCACTGTCATAGGGATGAGATATACCAGGACCCTAAAATTAAAAGAAAATACATTTAACTTATTTTGATTTCATAAGCTCTTGAATTACAATTAAGTATTCAATGAATTACAATTAAGTAGTCAAAGCTTTGACAATGTTTTAAAGGTAAATAATGTTAATCTTTGCATTAATTTTGGTCAAGTGGAATTTATCTGACTAGACATGCCTGAAGGAAACTATATAACTGCACAGCTTCATCTGACACACTTGCTGAGGAGTTAGAAGTTTACAAATACTTCAAAAAAAAACTTAAACATGAAATTGCAGAACTACCAACTGTGATATGAATCTTATTGCTTAAAATCAGCCACTGTATCAGATGAGTGGAATATTGCTAATGTAACATCCATGTTTAAAAAAGGCTCTAGAGGCAATCCTGGAAATTACAGACTGGTAAATGTAACTTCAGTACCAGGCAACTGGTTGAAACTACAGTACTTATCAGACACAGACAATCACGATATGTTGGCGGAATCATCAGCATGGCTTTTGTAGCACTCCTCACCAGTCTATTAAAATTCTTTGAGGGGATCAACAAACATGTGGACAAGAGTGATGCAATCAATCAGTGTAGTGAATTGGACTTTCAAAGCCTTTGACAAGGTCCCTCACCTAAGGCACTTATCCCATGACTGCTGAGTTTGCTTAAGAGGGAAGGTCCTCTCATGGATCAGTAACTGGCTAAAAGATAGGAAACAAAGGGTAGGAAGAAATTATCAATTTTCACAAAAGAGGTAATTAGTGGTGTCCCCTATGGATCTATACTGTTCATCATATTCATAAATGACCTGGAAAAGTGGGTGAGGTAGCAAAGTTTGCAGATAATACAAAATTACTCAAGATAGTTAAGTCCAAAGCTGACTGCGAAGAGTTACAAAGGGATTTCACTAAATTGGGTAAACAGATGGCAGATCACATTTACAAATTGAATTTCAAGTAACGCACATTGGAAAACAATCTCAGCTATACACACAAAATGATGGGGACTAAAGTAGCTGTTACCACTCAGGAAAGATCTTGGAGTCATTGTGGATAGTTCTCTGAAAACATCCACTCAGAACACATTGGCAGTCAAAAAAAGCTAACGTTAGTAACTGCTAGGAAACGGATAGATAAGACGACAGATATCAAAATGCCACTACATAAATCCATGATATGCCCATGCCTTGCATACAGCATGCAGGTCTGATCACCCCATCTGAAAAAAGGTATTAGAATTGGAAAAAGTACAAAGAAGGCAATAAAATTTATTAGGGATATGGAAAAGCTTCCATACAAGGAGAGATTAAAAAGACTGGGACTGATTATCTTAGAAAAGTGATGTCGGGGGAGGGGAGGAGGGATGATAGAGGTCTATACAATCATGAGTGATATGGGAAAAGTGAATAGGGAAGTGTTATTTATCCTTTCACTTAACAAAAGGACCAAGGGTCACCCAATCAGGCAGCAGGTTTAAAACAAATGTAAATATGTACTTCTTCACATAACGCACAGTCAACCTGTGGAACTCATTGCCAGGGGATGATGTGAAGGCCTAAAGTGTAACTGGGTTCAAAACAGAATTAGATAAGTTCATGAATTGTTCCTCTGTCTGTAAAATGGAGATAATGGTCTAACCTCCATTATAAAGTGCTGTGAGATCTACTGACAAAAAGCACTACATAAAAGCTAGGTATTATTATGATGATGATGATACATTTCATTCAGATGGATCCCCCAAGCATTTTATAAGCTACAGTGGATGCTGCTTAATAGCAATCCCAGTATCAACAACTTTTGCTTAATACCAACATTTTACTGTGAAACGATGCCACTCCAATTACTTTAATGTTAAAGGGATTTGAACTTTGCCAACAGGCATGCCATTTATTAACAACTTTGGGGGGTGGGGAAGAGGAGGTTTATGGGGCTGCAATCAAGCAAAAAAGCGCTGGGGCTGCACAGTAGCTCTCCCTGTGCTCTGATCTACCCCGGTGCTGGGGGCACAGGCTTGGCATTGTCCCAGTGCTTCCTTCCATGGCTGCAGCAAACCTGCTTGTGGTCAAGAACCCACAGTCCATAGAAGGAGGTAACAGGCTGTGTCACCTGCCTCCTTGCCCAGTGGGAGACACCCCCCCACCCCCCCCACACACACACACGCACCCCAGAATCCCAGTGCTGTGGGCTCTGAGAGGAGGCAGCAGGTAGGGCAGCAGCAGGGCTGCAGCCCAGATGCTGGGTCTTTCCACATAGAGTGAGGGCACGGGGGACCCATGGAGCTCCAGTGTCTCTCTTTGCGCTCTCTGCGTTGCTTCCTGACCTGGCACGCAGGACCCGGGCTCAGCAAATCCCAGCACTTCCTTCTCTGACAGCAGCCCTGTAGGCAAGTTTGGGGGGGCTGCAGCTACAGCAAGTACATCCCAGGGCTTCCTTCTCTGGCTGCAGCACTGCAAACATACTTTCAACGTTATTGGCAATTTCCAGGTAATAGCAATTTTTTGTTGGAAACAGACTGCTAATAAGCAGAATCCACTGTACATGCAAAGTCCCCTGCAGACTTTAAGAGGCTGGACTAACTCTGCTGTAAGGCCCCCAGTTTCTGTGGCAGATTCATGTTAAACTCAAGAACTGACATTTTTCAGTGCAATATTCCATTTGTTATTTGTATTTATTATAAATTCATTTTTTTACTACCTCAATGTGCTAGAGAAATTTTGTATTCATAATTCATAACTGCATCAAAAGGGAAGCTAGTGGTTTTGACAGTTAGGGCTTTTGGCACTAGGAAGGTGCCGAGATATAAGCTTCTGATGAATGATCAGTAATGAAATAATCCATGTTGAGATTTACATTGTTAGACTTCAGCATAACCACTGCATTTCATGAATGGGGACAAATCAGACTCTCGGACTGCAGACTTCAAAGACAATCTAAACACGACTTCAATATAAAACGCTGTTACCTTCAATATAAAACGCTGTTACAACCATAAAAGGCCAAACTCTTGTGTTTTTTTTTAAATGAAAGGTTCAATTCTGCACCAAATTCCACAGCTGCGGCATAGAGTTCATTGACGACGTGGAGACTGCATGATAGCCAAGCACACAATAGGCACAGAGAATGCTGTACAACAAGGGGAGAGGAGGAAAAGAAAAAACTCTGGCAGGACAAATCCCTACTCTTACAAAAACGCCACCATGAATTTAAATTATGGTATTACTCAAACTGTAGGCACTGAGCATCCATAAAGGGAGACAGTCCTTGCTCTTGAGCATTTACAGAGCCAAACAGGAAAAAGATCCAAGCGGTGGAAAGGGATACAACATACAAAGCTTCACTTTCTGTGAAGTAATACGAGGGCAAAGGTGGGCTGAAGGCCAATGGTAGAAGGCAGAAAGTTAAAAAGGAGGAAGGGAAAAGGAGGGACACTGAGGAAAGGATGAAGAGGGGCACAGAAGATGGGAAATGAGACTGGCAATGGAGAGACTGTGAAGGAGAAAGGAAGGGAGGTAGGCACACCAGAGTAAAAGATGTCAAGAGCTTAAATTGCAGAATACAGAGTCTACTGTCACACCAAAAACCTGGATTTGGGCAGGTCTCTGCTGCTGGGTACTCTCCACTCACAGCATGATGCTCTTTTTCCTCCAGAGTACATGGAGGAAGTGGGGTGCTCCCTGGAGCCCTTATGGACTTGCTCTCAGAGGGGATAACACCAACAGAATCCAGGTCTAGAGTCTGTACCCACCTACATCTTACCTCCTGCTCAGCAGCTGTAGATGGTGGCAGGGTGACTAATCTCTAGGTCAGTGGATAGACTGCCCTCAACATGTGTGATTTCCATGCTTAGCTCATATGACAAGGAGAGGTGGGTGCTACTGAGACCTCCTTATTGGGGTTATCCCTCCATTGAGGGATAACAGAGGTGCAGAATGGGAAGTCATAGTGGGTCTCACATTATGTCCTCCTGTCAACAACTGCTCCCAGATACGGTCTGCGGAGGGACAAGTCTCCAGTCCTGCCATTAACTCTACACCTAGGACCATGTTGCTCTTCCTCCCATGGCTCAGACGACTGGTAAAGGAAGAGGGGTCCAAAGCCCAGGCAGAGTAGACGGGATGTTGTTTTGCCATCTCCTCTGGCACATCCACCAATCAGCAAACTATATAGTACTTTATTTATCTAACTTCGAGACTGAGTTGCCCCTGCTGGGATTGGAACATGGTTTCAAGGATTCTAGGCACTTCAGCTCTGAAGGTTACAACACTATGTCCTTACCTCCAACAGACCTTCCCCTCAATTACTTTTATTCTCAGTAGCCCAGTGCCCAAGATGCTCTTCTACATTTTTTTGAATTTTAGAATTCTGATCCCAAATATAAGCACCCAGGGGAGTTATCACAAATTCCTGATGTCTGGGACCATAGAATCAAGCTCCATCACAATAAATATTCAGTTTATAAATGACTGTTTAAGTCTTTTTTTCACAAAACCTACATTTGGAGCTAACATTGCCCTGATAGTGTCCTCTGTAACCTAGGAGGGTGACCCGATTTCCTTCGGAGTGTTTTACAATCTAACTTGGTCAAATAGATTAAAGTAAGGTGAAAAGAGTTTGGAAAAGTTCCATGATACTTTGAAACAATTGCTTATATAACATGCAAGTAGGTCAATCTACACTGAAAGGTAAATTGAATTTCCAAAGCTTTTAATGCAATGGGATTATACAAACAGGAATAGCCAAAATCTTAAATTGTTTTACTTCATATGTCCAGGAAGAGGAGGAAAGATGCCAGCACTAACGATATACAATGACACTGAAAAAGCTGTAGTCTGCAATAAATATTGATTGCATTCCAGAGTTTTGTGTATACATGCATCTCACTAGGGTTAAATCAATCTCCAATAAATATGGAGATCTGAAATGGAAGATTAGTAAAAGTTGGAGTGAAACAGTGTTAAAATTTTACTTCACAGTGTTTAATTCTCCTGGAGAGAAAGATTATGCTTATCAGGCAGATCAGATTTAGTACAATGTAAAATAAGTCAAGACAAAATATAAAGTGAGATTATAGAAATTCCATTTGAAATTAATGTCACAGTAGCAATGGTACGGTTAAGAAGGAGATTTCATTGTAAGTTAATATTCTTAGGCATTTGTAATTCTCAAAAATATTATCCTTTAGACTTTCCAAAGGTACATTTTGAAAAGTTTGGTAAAGTTTTGTTCTGGAAGAATTATAGTGAGACTGTCTGTATTATTATGTTCACCATTTTTACAAGACTATGATAAATTTTGTTGTTTTTAAAAAAAAAAAAAGGATGCCTTGTGAGATATTATTTGAAACGTCATAACCCGATGAACATTACTGTCCTGGTAATAGGTGTATCAACATTGTATGTGAAGTTATAAGATTCTACTCTGTGTATCATTGTTATAACACGCTCCAAGGTTAACAAAAGCAGGCCTTTCAGCCCCCAGACAAGTATCAAAGTTAAGTGGGCTATCACCTACTTAAGCAGCCATTCTCCAGCAGTGGGAAGGTGTGAACAAGAAATTTACATTTCATCACAAAGACAGTTCAACTCTCACTTGGGTAATCCTCAGAAGGGAGTGGTATAAGAATGAGACAGTGGCCTCCAATTCACCTCTCTCCTCATGACATCAATGACTCCCAAAGAACTGAACAAGGGGGAGGAGTCCCAGCCTGAAAGAAAAGGAGTACTTGTGGCACCTTAGAGACTAACCAATTTATTTGAGCATAAGCTTTCGTGAGCTACAGCTCACTTCATCGGATGCAAGCCTGAAAGGTGACCCAGCCTGTGGTGACACAAAACCTTTTGCTTTTAAGTTCATTTAGCAACCATGACCTGTTTCAAGAAGTTTTACAAGACAAAGGCCTTGTCTACGCTGCCACTTACAGCGCTGAAACATTCTTCGCTCAGGGATGTGAAAAAACACCCCCAAGTGATGCAAGTTTCAGCACTGTAAAGTGCTACAGCGCAGCGCTGGTAGCTATTCCTCTCACCAAGGTGGTTTTATTACAGTGCTGGGAGAGCTCTCTCCCAGCACTGGAGCTGCGACTATACAGTCACGTTAAAGCGCTGTGTAGACATACCCAAAGTGTCATTGATTAGGGGGTCCCCTCAGTCCACTTTACGGTCTAACAGTTTAAATTTTGAAGACTGTAAGTATGGCTACAGGTATGTCAAAGCAGGAAAAAGTCAGATAGTGTAATTCTCCCATCTGTCTAACTTTTTTGTGTCTACAACTGACCCTAAAGCAGCAGCAGCAGCTCCTGTCCCAGATCCCCTCTCTGGGCACTGCAGCCAGGCCCATAAGATTGTAGCACCATTCAGGTTTGACCCAGCTGCCTCTCAGCCATCACCACAAGCCGGGGGGCCAAACCTGAGCCACATGGCAACCCAGCATACCAGATCACAACATCCAGAACAGGAGCCTCGGCCTAGTTCAGTGGGACACAGGAGCTACCATTGCCCGTGTCAGAAGTGAGGAAAAAAGAAAAAGGAGTACTTGTGGCACCCTAGAGACTAACAAATTTATGGAGCTACCACTTTGCATGCCCAGTCCTGCCTCAGCACAGCAGAATGGGACTAGATAAACCTCGAGGTCCCCTACCAACCCTACATTTCTATATCATTTAAAGCCAGCTTTATCCTGGCAAGGCTTCCATAGTTTTTGTTCCTTTCAGTAAATCACTTTAATTTATTTGAAAAAGGAAAGAAGGTAGCATTGGCAATATTTTAAGCCCTTTTTAAATATCAATTATAACAAAGACAGATCCAATTCCTTTTCACCAAAGGCAGTAGACAATGCATTGATGCATGAATGTAAAAAAGTGTACTGATATATGAATAGTTTTTAAACAAAGGAATGTACATTGACTTTCACAGATTATCCCCTGGCTTCTTTCTACAGGCTAAATTACAAGAGCATAGGACAGCGTATAGGGCAGCAACACATTTCCTGACAAGAGGAGATTGTCATAAATTGTGTGCTGTTTGAACAGACATGTCAAAATGAAAAAGCACCAGTGAAATGCTGACACCCTGTAACAATATTTAGCACATTATATCGCACTCTTCATTTTCAAGGTGCGTTACAAGACCTCAGCCAAACTCCTTTTTGCTAAGCCCAGTTCCTCAAGCTTTGTGCAGGAGAGAGGATTTGAGCATAAATGAGTCTCCCAATGACGCATGTGCTGATTTAATATACTGCATTAAATTGTTTAAAGTTTTATTTAAATATTATGAATGATACAGTGATTTATTAGCTACCCCTATGGTGGAGGAGTCCCCTCACTCACTGTTGCACTAGTGCTGTGGGATAGACATCAGGTTCTGATTATATGGTGATTTGAAGAAGAGGACTGGCTTACAGTACCAGACTGAAGATGTGTTTACAACCTTATTCAGGTTTTGGATTGTCATTTACATATTTAAAGGTTAATAAGATTTTAACAAGAACTCTTAAAAATTACAGACCCTCGACTATGCTTATTTCTGTAAGAGTCTGTTACAGAGACAGATTTTTTTCCATGAGGCTGCGTAACAGTTCAGTGTGTAGTGGATTATGACTGAGGCGAATGCCAATCATAACAGGTGACAAATTCATCTGATTATTGCAATGTTAGGAGTAAAATGATGCAGACACAAGCTATGGTGTAAAAAAAGAGGGCAGATCCACAGCAAATCAAGGCACAAAGATTACGCTGCTAATGCAGTGCCTAGTGCAGAGATGCATTAACTCCCCTTCACAATTCTTTAGCCTTGCTGAATGTGGAAGGAAGACTGTGGATGTAAATTATGAAAACAAAGGGTGCCACTCTGTGCACCCAAGCAGGAAACTGCGCTGCTGCCTTGGTTGATTTGCTATGCAAAAGGAGCAGGTAAGCTGTTGCTCCAGTGTCAATTTTATATATCCTCCTGTGCATAGATGCCCACCCTCTCCTCCCAGTTTCAAACCCCCATAAAAATCATCTGATCTTACTTCCACCCTTCTTTCCCCATTCAAATACTTGGCTGGAATCTGTCCCCTACCTGAAACTACATTCCCTTTCCCACATATTAGCAGCAGCTGACCTGTCTTCACCACCCTCCCACATGCTGCACGGATCCCTTGCCTTCTACTGCCTCTCCCTGTCCAGCTTACCAGTCTATTCAGATCTTCGGAGCCTACCAAATCCTCCCCATCGTCTTCAGCAGCCTCTGTTCACTTCCAGTTTCCCACCATTAAAAGCAATGGCTCTGCTATTTCCCACGTTTCCCATCCCCTTGATCCTCAAAATCCCATGGATTCACGTACCCCCCCCAACAGATGCGAGTAGGATCTCAACCATATTTGAGAAAGATTCAGCTGTCCTGAGGTTGAACACAGAAAGAGAAATGTTGAGAACACTGAGCACCTCCTCTGCCATGCGGAATTCTGCTTTTTCTGGACAGGATTCACATGTAGTTCTTGGACCAGAGAATATTTTTACCCAGTAGATTGCAATTAGGAGCTCCCATTTTCTAAACCAAGCACTGACAATTTGCTGTGTAGTTTTGGCAATCCACAACCTGTACATCAATTTCTCCATAACCACTTGTAAACAGAGAAACAGTACTGTGTGGGGGTGCAGTGGGGATTTTAAAAAAAAAAAAACTATGCAAATGCAAACAAATATTAATTTCTTTAAAGGGTTCCTGGTTCTATATTCACTTCATGTAGTTATTCTCTGAAGAAGCCACAAGATCATTTACTAGTTATTACAGGGGTCTTCTCTCTCTCTCTTGCACGCACACACACACACACACACACAAAGAGCGTACTAACCTTGGATGGATTGAATGGCACCCCCAAATATGAAGATCCTCGGAATCCACAGCGATTTAAATTTGATCCTAGGAGGGGAAAAAACACCTCATTTACTCTGTTGAAACAGCCATTTAAAATTATAACTCTTTGGATAGGATCCAGACATGTTAATTCAACATAACTGCCCATGTACTGAAAAGATAAAAGAAAGCTATAGTAATATTTTGAATCTCAGCATATTATTTCAGGGAACAGAAAGTTTTTTCAGAATGCTCTTAGTGCCAAGTGTAAAAGAGGCTTCACCTGGCTGAAATATATTTTGTGCTAATTGAAATTTCCTCCATTGTTTTGAAAGAGGAGATTGCCTAGTTGGAAAAATGCATAGCATAAACAGGTTATTTTCCTCTGGATTTCCATCCACCAAGACTGTTTAAGATCAGCTGCAAAGCACAGAGTCAACTACTATGGTTTTAAGTCGGCACTGATTTTTTAGCCATTTAATAAAGATGGTAAATAGGCTCATTATGTTAAACCACACAAGATATGATCTAACAAACTAAAATAGCCTGAAAGGTCACAAGATTTAACAACAGCATTGCTTATTTCTCTCCTCCAAAATCTAGAAGCATGAGAAGCTTTTATAAGAGGGAAAATTGCTCACTTAGCGATCATTCAAATGTGACACTCTTATTTACAGGTTTTATATTGTGTTGATCTTCATGGTATCCGAGTACTTAGGACGTACAGTACTAATGCATACCACACACCATCAAAAGTCAAGTACAGCCCAGGTCCTCTACACCAGTGCTTCTCAAACTATCTGATGTGGCGGACTGGCAATTTTTTTCCAGTGTGCCAGGCACCGGTACCATATTTGTGCCATATTATTATCGCACTCGCATAGGCATGTAGCACATCAGATCAGAAAAACTAACATTCTTCACTGTATTAATTGGAATGGGAGTGTGCACACCACGTGTAGCATACTCGTGGAGATGTTCCCATTTAAATACACTGAAGACTGACTGAAAGGCTGTGCATCTGTGTGGATGGTATAAAATGACTACTATTAGTTTATGATCCAAGCAAATATTTGAACATTCGTAATATTAATTTATATCGGAAACAATATAATGAATAAAATAAAAGCTGGCAGACATTATTTTATGTTTATTTTGTAAACAAATATTACAATACAAATAAAAAAATATTAAATCAAACCAGCAGTCTCAAAGATATTATAAAAAACATTATATATATAAGTAATAAAATCAAAAATAATGAATAAAGGTTAAAAAAATAAGATGGAAAGGAACATTAAATTGAAGACATAATTTTGAAAATATGTCAATACTAAAATATCAAATTGATAAGCTATTTTATTAACACAATAGGCATGTTAAACCTTAACCTTTACTAATGTGGAAGGTGAGCCTGCTTCTTCGTCAGCTTATCCAGTCGTGGTTCAACTGAGGACAGTGACACGCACAATGGAGAATATCCATACTATTCCTGTACTTTATCTTAATGACACTCATGGTTGAGAAGCCAGTCTCGCAGAGGTATGTTGAAGGAAATGGGAGAAGAGTTTTCAGAGCAATTTTAGTAAGCTCAGGATATTCTGCTTTTACTTTTATCCAAAAGGAAGTTAGTGATGTTGTAGTTTCAAAACTTCATCTTCAATCCTTCGTCAGCAGCCAGCTCCAACAATTTATCCTCCATAGTAACAGTTAAGTCATCTTTCAATGGAATAAACTGATTTTGGATCCATCCAGTCCCTTTCCGTGGATCTTCTTCTGTTAGAAAGTAAAACTCTAAACGTTCTGCCAATTCGTCAAGTGTTCACTGATGACATTTTGTAGAGATGTAACATTAAGGTCTTCGCCTGATCGGCGATTATTGTCGCTAATTTGTGAAACATGTCATAACAATCTCTTGACACTCAACTCTTCCATGTTTCTAGCTTTCGTTTCTGTCCGTCCATCCACCTTGTCTGCCATTGTAAGACACAAAGCCATCCTTCCCTGCATGGAGGTGTGGAGATCATTAAAGATGGCAAAGATATCAGCCAAATAAGCGAGCTTGGCTATCGAATCCACATCTCGGAACAATTGTGACCAATTTGGTTTTTTGTCCTGAAGAAACTCAGCAAGCTTGTTTCAGAGCTCAAATACTCTTGACAGGACTTTTCCCCTCGATAACCAACGTACATCGGCATGCAATAGGAGCTGTTTATGATCAGCTCCAATATCATCACATAATGCAGCGAATAGTCTCGAATTTAAAGCATTTGCCTTTACATGGCTCACAATTTTTACGACTTCGCTGAGCACTATTTAGTTCTGTTGACATTTTTGTTGTTGCAAAACTTTCTCGGTGAAGGAAGCAGTGCATCGACTTGCATTCAGTTGCAAGTGCCTTAATCTGGGTAACCACTCCGGAATGCCGTCCTGTCATTGCGGCAGCGCCATCAGAACATACGCCTACACAAAACTTGAAATCCAACCCACATGTTAACAAAGTAGTCGCTCACAGTCTTGAGCACTTCAGAACTAGCTGTTTTTGTTGGCAGTAAAGCAGAAAACAAAAAAAACTCTTCCTTCAAACAACCCTCATGTTCAAAACGCACATACACCATCAGAACTGCCATTTTAGCAACATCTGTACTTTCATCAAGTTGCAAAGAAAAGTACATTGCTAATTTAATCTGTCCTATGAGCTGATCTTCCATATAGTGAGACAGATTGTGAATTCGTTGAGCTATAGTGTCATTTGAAAGTTGCACCTGAGCCACTTTCTTTGCCGGCTCACCCACCATTTCCATGCAGACATCTTTAATACAGTCCTATCACTAGCGTTTCACCGATTGTGTATGGCTTTTTAGCCTTAGCAACGCAAAGCACAAGTATTTATGCGTGACACTTCAAGGATCTGTTTCTGACAGCCTTTTAAATCAACATACTTTCTTTCAAAGAACTCTTTCGGCTTTGAACTAATTTCATTATGTTTTGTATTTAAATGCCTCTTGAGTTTTGACAGCTTCTTTGCGTCGTTAGCCAATGCATAGCCACAAATAACGCGCTGTGGTTTTGGCACTCCATCATCATTCGTGGCTACAAAACCAAACTGAATGTATGAGGAGTCATATTTCCGAGTAAAGCTAGTATGAATTCTTTTTGTTGACAATACTTCGGTTTCATTTACATTGTCGTCATCTGATTCAGAATTACTTGCGTGTTCCGCAATCGGATGCCTGCTTGATAAATATGTCGATTGGACCTCGCTTCGCCATCTGTAAATTAGGCATAAAAATAATGAATATAAATTCCATTACCCTGGGTATATACTTAATTTATTATATTAGGATGAAAGCCAAATAAATGCAGTGGGAATGCTTTTACTGAGAAATATGTGCGGGAGAACATTGATTAATAGGGTAAGTAATATTAGGATAAGAAGATAATATACATTTTAAAATTAAATTGCAAACAGGGTAATAATTGGAAAGTTAAGATGGTTTGAATATATGGAAAGAATGAATAATGAATGTCAAAAATAAGATTTACCTGTCTGAAGGATATGGAGAAAGCAAGGAATTTAGAGAACTTCCTGGCAGAAACATGTAGGTTTGATTCTAGAAGAGGGGAAGGCGATAAGTAAGAACAAAAAGAGTGTATGAAATGATATATGGATATAGTGGAAGTGAGGACTGTTTATTTGGCTATAGGTGTGTGGTGCTCAATCGTCTCTATCTACCTCGTAAGGGATACGGCGGGATAGGATAGAAAATTATTATTAAAATTTATAATATTAGTACTTACATTCTCAGATCAGTGGGCTCGGACGGGGTCCCAAATGACAAGCACGCAGACATCCATATGATGCTCTTTATTCAACTCGATAGTAACTTCCGTGGGGCAGGGGCTTTATATGTGAAGGAGTGGGGTAAGCATGCGCTTGCGCATCTCATGCAAAACATGCTGTAGCGCTATGGCATAATTATCAATATTATAATATGTGCTTCTGAAAATATTATTTAATATTGTCGACTTTATCGACTGATAATTATTCTTGGTGAAATTCCAGTGTGATTTTTAAATTATTTTTCTCTTTCTTTCCTGGAAACTCGCCGTGGACCGGCAGCCGATTGCTCCGGTCTGCAGACCACCACTTTGAATAGCACTGCTCTACACAGCTCAAATATGCCTCTCTGAGCTGTATTAGCATAGCTGGATTGACTCAAAGGGCCTCTAGAGATAAAAGGCTAGTTAGTGTTCTAATTCCCCTGAACTAGATGTTCTTAAGCGCCCTTAATTTTGCTGTTACATCCTTTGCTCTGATCTAAAAGTCCTAGCCCCTGTCTACATTAGAGAACCTAACTAGACAATGTAGTTACACAGTAAGCTCCTAATACAGATGAACTGTGCACAGATACAGAGGCATCTTACACTGGTGTGATTTACCAGTTGATGCCCCACTTTATATCTGCGTCTCATGTCTACAGCAGAAACTTGCACCAGTAACTACACTGATGCAAGTTTCTCAAACTCGATCTAGGGAGTTTTCTGTTACTCAGCGGTGCAGTGAAGGCCCCATTGTGCTGGGCCCCGTATAAGCACGTAGCAAGAGTCCCCTGCCCAACAAGTTTTATAATTCAATTTTAGACCTGATGCAACAAGTGTGAAACATAATGAGGGAAGAGGAGAATGAGGACATGGTTAATGACATACGGTCATATGGCTATAGAAATTCTTCATCATCATCATCATCTTCGTGTTCCCATTATGCCTCTGGCATTTAGGCAGCGACAAAGCTCCTCCACTCCTGACTGTTTCTGGCAAGTCTTTCAATGGCTCCACAGCTGTGCCCCAGGTTTTTCAGCTCAGCTTCCACAGCTCTTCGCTATGTTCTTTTCAGGTGGCCTCGTTTTTGCTTGCCTTCAGGTGTCCATCTTGTTGGTACTCTGGTGATGGAATCAGTTTCCATCTGAAGCAGATGGCCAATCCATCTCCAGCACCTCTTGGAAATGATGATGCTCAGATCCTCTTGGCTGAACTGTTTCAATGGATCTTGGTTTGAGATTGTT